TTGTATCTATATTGTGTTGCCAGTGTATAATAGAAACTGTGGTGGTTTGTTTGAAGTTTCTTTTTATTTGGCTAATAATAATTTTGTCTTGCTGGTAGATAATTATTCATAGCTTTAGTCTTTATGGAATAGTGTTAGACTAATAAGCAAATAAGTTAATGCCTGATGGCTGGTATTGTATATATATTAATTGATGTTGTGAGTTGTCAAGAATGGTATTTTCAAAAAATAAAAACCAGCCTGGTTTCTTTCCTTTAAGTAGATGTAAAAGTCTGGGTAAGATATGCTGCTATTCAAGTAGATATTTATTATCTGCTAAGCTAAGCTGCTCTAAATATAAGATATATTTGTTTTGAAGCTGTTGTTTAAATATACTATACTTGGGGCTTTTAAAAAGGATAAGTTCTAGTGGTGTATTACTGTCTTGAATTAATTGGGGCTATGCTCTGTCTGGGTTTATAGTTAGACTAATATCAGCTTGTTGTAATAATTATAATATTTTAAATGTAGTGTTGTGCTTGTTGGGTCCATCTATAGTAGACTGTGGGTGTTGAAAGATGCTGCTAGTTGACAAAGATTGTTTTGGAGTTATTATAGCCTGATATAAGTGGTAGTACTGAGTATAGATCTGTTGTTAATTCTGAGGAGCAGATTGTTAGCATGATGCTAGAGTTGTATATTCCAAATATTGTGAATATTGTAAATTTTGTGGCAAAGCATTGTGCTATTGGTGATAAACTGAGATAAATGAGCTTTGTGTTTGGTGAGTGTAAGGTACTTGCTCAGGATCTGGGTATAGATTGTTTGGGGGATAATGATGTTGTGAATTCTGTATTCTAGTGTAGAAATTATGACTTGTTGATAATGTAGATTATCTGTTTATCAGTAATCTTTTTTTGGTTCACCGTGTAGGCTAGATTTAGAGCTTTTTCTTTGATGAGCTTGATCTGTTTGGAGTGCTTGTTATTAAGTGTGAACCAACATTCTAGAAACTTGAAGAGCTGGCTAGTAGAAATTGTTTTTAGGTTTGTTTGTAGAAAGAAGATAGTAGCATTGGTTTGATTGAATATAAAAGTGAATTTAAATAGATTAACCTGAATGTTTGGCATATTGTAGAAAGATAATGCAGTTGGTATAATTCTTTCTAGATCTTCTTTGGTTTGAGTGATCCAGATAATATCATCTATGTATGCGAGAACAGATATGAAGCAGTGCAACCTCTTGGTGGAAGGTAAGATTAGACTTGTTTGCCATGTAGCATATATTGTATATTCTGGTAGTTGTGTAAAGATTTTTGTAATTAATAGATTATAGTAAATTCTTCAGAATAGTGGAGTGATGGTTTTCCCTTTGTCAATACTATTTTTTATAACATAGAGATTTGTAAGGCCTAAATTGGTTATAACTCTGTTGGAGTGATTAGAGGGGAAATTAGTAAGAATGTTGATAAGAAGTTCAGGCATGCCTATTCTGTATAGTGATTTCCTAAAGAGGCTAAAGTTGACAAAGCCATAGGCCTTGTTTATGTCTTGTGATAATATCCATAGCTGATTGGAGTTGCAGGCTGCATCTTCTATAATATTATTAAGAGTGTGAATTGGGATTAAAATAGAATTGCCTGAATGTATGATATAGTTGAATAGAAATAGAATTGGGTGATTAGATAGAATATTGTTCAACCAGTTGGTGAGGAGTTTTGTATATAACTTTTTAATGTATTTGATGAGGCTGATAGGTCTCGTGTTAGCTAGATTTCTGTCAAAAATTAGTTTCTTGAAAATGGGATATAATTTGCCCTCTTTTCACTGTTTAGAAACTGGTTAAGTAGTAAGGCATCTATTAAGAAGTACAGTTATAGCTTGTAGGAAGGTTGGGCCTGTGTGTTTCAGCATCTTATAGCTTATTTCAGAGGGCTCACAGGCTTTATTGTTGGGTAGTTGACTGAGAGTGGAAAGAACCTCTTCCTGAGTTATAATAGAGAGTGCTTCTTGGTACTAGTTTTGTTGGATATGGGGTTGGGGTTGTATTCTATTTGCTATTCTGTATTAAATAGGGTCTTATCAATTAGATGGGTAGTCTAGTCATTAAAATGTTGCTGAATATGTGATTTGATGATGGTAGAGTCTGTGATAATGTCTTGGTTTAGTTTAATATTGTCAAACTTGATAGGATCTTTGTACTAATTTAGGATGCTATTAAGCATAGAGGTTAGATTAGTATGAAGCTTGGTACATCTTTTAGAGAAATACTCAAAGATTTGTTAGATAATATGATTCTATAAGTTCTTGATATTTATGTATTATTTTTTTAAACTAACAATTTCAATTCAATATAAAATCTTGTTTTTGAGTTTGGATAGTTTTTTTTTTAAATTTACTATAAAAATTACACTAAAGCACTTTTAATATTTCTTTTAGTTATTTTTATTAGTAATTCAAAAATTATCTAATATTAAGAGTGATAAATACTAAATTGCTAAAATTTTTCAATATACTTATAGAAATCTTTACAGTCTTTTGCAATATAGTAAAAAGAGATATCTTGTAGTAAATTAAATAATAAAAAAAGTACAATACTGTATATCAATTTTTTATAATTAATGATAATAGCTTCAAAAAATCTTTGTTTATAATTCAACTTATCTGAAATATCAAAACTTTAATATAGAAAACTATATGCTTTCTTCTTGATTGTTTTTTTGCAATTTTTACTTGTATCAAATATAAAAAAATTTAATTTTTAATTTTACCACAGGTTGCTTTGGTATGACTACTAAAAAGAAAAAAGAAAAAAGTAAATATTAATATAAAAAGTCTTCTTATATTGTCAATTAAGATGAAAGAGTATGGCTTTGTTATTTATTTTTGAAATATAGTACTTTATACAAATTTAGTTTGTTAGGCTGTAATTTGTTTAATTGTATTGCTAATACTATTATTAATAAAGAAAAGATATTACTACTCACTAAAGAAACAGAGCAGGTATTACAATGTGGTCATGCATATCATAATATGTGTTTTAGTTAAAATAGATCCAAATACTTATATTGTCTAAATTATATTAAAGAAAGTATTGACAAGAATATTCAATCACTCTTAGAAAGTTTATACAAACTTGATTTGAATAATAATGCCAAAAGCAAAGACCCTGACCTCAAAGATAATGAAACTCTCGAAGATGATAATGATAACACTAGGAAATCCACTGATGATATTTTAATTCCTTGGGATAATACAATATAGTAACTCCTTCTATTATAATTTATTTTTAATATTATAAGAAAGTGTAAATTTACATGTTATTTTTTGATTAAAAATTATTTTTAATAAAAATTATTTCAAATGTGAATTTATTTATTTATTTTTTTTTTATATATGTTTGATTATAAATCTGTAAATTGTAATAATTTTGTAATCTAAAATCGACCATCATATTTTTTAAAATTAAAAACGTGATCTACAACATGATCTACGTAATCAACCAATCAAACAAACTTCTTTCTATGAAATTAATAATCGATCGGAATTATGGTGAACTAAAATCTGACTTGAGTCACTATTTAAAAGTATGCGTAATTCGGAATTTCTGCAAAATAATTACAAGCTTCGAGAAGAATTTAATTTATTCATTATAGATTTTATCTACGAAAGATTCTTCGGACAGCACTGGATCTAATAACTTTTGCAGTCTCCCAAATCAAGCTGCTAGAAAGCAGTCTGAATCAATATCTATAGACCATCTAATGTCGTCCAAGTTAGTCATATAAAAGAGCATGCCTAAACACTCGATAGGTGATTTAGAAAGATGATCTTTTAATTCGACTTTACCAGATTATTTGGACAAGTCGGAAAAATAGGATTGAATTGCAGCTTTCAAATAACAGATCATGAATTACTAAAGTTCTAGGATGCCATAAAAAATTGTAATTTTCTGTGATCAATTTCTAGAGTCAATATTTAGAATTATATGATTATTTCGGTTTGATAATTAAAGAGTGCACATGTACTGCATAGTAAAACCCTTCCCATCACTTGTCACTGTACGTACGTACAAGTCGCAGAGTTTTGTCATGTGGTGTCGTTGCCATTCAAAAAAAGAATGATAATTAACCCTGTAATCATTTTCATCGTTGAAATTCTCTATTTGGATTACAGTACACCTATAAAAATTTGACACAGAACTCATAATTCTGTATAGATCTTACGGACTTACGTGTGAAATTTAAACAATCATCCTTATCTGAGATGCGTATTATAATAAAAGAGTGGATAAATGGAGTAATGAGAATATACCAGGGACGGAGTACGAAGTACGTAGAGTATGGTTTATAGCAAGTTAAGTGGATTCGCCAATTTTGAGCATCTGATTGAATACTGTAAAAATTCCTTGTGACTTTGTGTAGCACCCCCGAACAATACTAAAAAGGTTATTAAAAAAAATTGTAACAAGAAAGAAGAAAATGCGGTAAATAGGAATATACAGAATTAAAGAATTAGGAGTAATACCTATCTCCAAGTTACCTATAAATCCGTAATTATCATAAGGTCAATAAATAAATAAACTAGGCTAATGCATTGCATTAGAATCACTATTAATGCACATGACAGATAAACAGCGTACGGTGCCGAAAGTCTATACGTACTCGGGGTTTCGATTGTGGTTGGCTTATGCGTCCGGAGCACACGATGACATCATATAACACAAACGAATATTTTTTTATTACACTTAAAGCACAAATATAGACACGCGACGTGACCGACAAAAATTTACAATTTACATTTCTATGTGATTTTCATAATATTTATGTAGATGTATCAAAAAGGTAATCTAGTTCGGTTAAAAGTAATTTTTGTATACTAACATAATAATTAAGTGCTGAAGTGTCACACCGGACAATGAGTAAATAATATATATCATATTATTCAATCAATTTTTTCTACGTACGCCTCGGCAAATGCTTCCCGCAGTATGATGCAGAAGTTGTTAGATATTTTTAGTAATTAGATTCGAAATTCGTTTCCACCATTTAAATGATAACAGATCCATTTCAAATTTGCATAATGTGCTAAATAGATAATAAAAAGAATCCCCAATATTACTTTACTATAGTTGAGAATATAGAGATCTGAACAAGGACCTTTTTTAAGATCTCTATCGGAACAATACGGAAATATCCATCAGGAATTGAATTTTTTGCATACTGAGATATGTCATTCATGAACATATTTTATTACAGCTGTTTTCAAAAAGATGTGGAAAACGATTTCCATATAACCATGTGGGGAATTGAAGAACGTGGAAATTGTGCTTAGTAAAAATTCAAAATCTGATTAGTGTAGATATTGAAAACTCCGGAAATATCCATGATATAATGATCTGCATCTTTCCACCGCTGTAAATAGGAAACCTTTTCCATAAAAATTATTCTGATCCCGCATATAAAAATCCGTAATAATTTTTTTCCCACGGAATTTCGCTTTATAAATATTCCGTGATTTACTTTGAATGCATGTTTATTTCCAAAATAATATTTTAAAATTTTCAATGTTCATAATATTTATATTTATGACCTTAGTTCTTATGGTATTTTCTAATTATAATAACAAGATATATGTATATGTATGCACAGAGTACATATCCGCAATTTGCAAATCGGACTTCCTTTTATGCAATCCTATTAGTGTATTATTGCAGTCCTAGGATAAAACAACAAAGTATATTGTCAACGTCATAACAACTATTTCTTGTTATCTGGTGATTCATGGGTATCGGCAGGATAATAGCAAAAACACGTGGCCGAAGGCCTCGTGCGTTGCAATTAATCATGCCAGATAATTAGTTTATCTGAAAGGTATGATGTATATACACTTACGGAAAGAGTTTTATATACTTCTGCAGATTTTATATTAAAATTAATAAAAATTTATCACATTATTTAATAAAAATTTGCGGAAATAAAGTGAAAATTTTTCCGTCAGTGTTTACATAGTATCTGCCGGATAATCATTGTTATTGTCTCATATATGATTTTATTATAATCATATAAAGAAAATATTTATTTTCAACATTCATTTATAAGCAATGACTTAAGAAAATTTTCATTGTTATATTTTCCTTATCATTCGGTGCTGGGCTGCAAATGGTCCGGATACCAATATTGCTATTATTGAATGGGAGAACAAACTGTAGTAGTTCCAAAGGAAGTACAGCATTTCGAATATCAAAGTATTACAGTGTCTTATCAGAATTTTTACGGTGACTTTATTTTTTTATTACGTGGCTTAAAAACTTTGTCTATACGTATCAGGGTTGGAATACGGTATCCCATGGCATGCATGTCGCGGGGATATCAAAAAAATTCCGTCCCCAACTTCGCTCTACTTTGAATTGATGTATTACATCATAGTAGAACTGAAAGAATATATTGAAACTTAAATATCATTGTGTGAGGAGAAGGTTTAATATAAATTCGGTATATGTATTAGATAGCTGCGCGACAAAGCCACTCTCAAATCAGGCACAAACACATCCGAAGATTATTACAGATAAATTGGAATTAACGAGAATTCTGATATAAAAAAGATTTTAATACTTTTTTTGCTGATATTAGAGCGTATATTGTTAAAAATTATATTTCTGTTTTTGAGTTAATAATATTTCCAACCGTAAAATTTATTAATGTTAATACAGTATTTTCTTTATTGAGTAAGCTGTCTCCGTTTTTAAGTTTGTATAATTTCAAATTTAGAAGCTACACCTATAAAAGATCTGGTCTTCAATAAACCATAAATACACTTATTTACTATATTCACAATGTTTTTGATATTCACTATGTTTTTTGCAGTATGCTTTTATTACTTTAAGCATAATTTAGATTAATATTTTGAATCAAATTTTGGATATAGATCTATTATTTTTAGAACCTGAACTTTTACCGTTATTTACGCTCCATATACTATGATTTATGGTACATTTTTTATTAATTATTCTAAATAATAAAAAATGGTTGAAACCGTCATGATAGATTAAAACTGGAAGTTATATATACATAGATGAATATAATGACATTTTTAATTTAATGCTTTTATTCTCAGCTCACTAAAAATCGATACACAATGATTGCACTAGGAAGAAAAATCAAATTTTAGACTTTTTAAATTATACAGTAATTTAATGGTTCATTTAATCATATATCATAAGGACCAACTCCAGTAATTAATAAATTTAAAAGCTCAAAATCTTTAGTAGCAAATCATACGGTACGAGAATCTAAGATCTACAATTATACCTATAGAAACAAAATATAAACATTGAGATAAAATATTCTTAGATACTTAATATTATATGTACTGTAAATACTTTATTTAAATCGATAATTTAAGAAATATTCTACTTTAATGCGCTACCTGACTATGCATTAACTCTAATATTATACATGCACGCATGCATGTGCGTGATATACATTACTCTAATTATCGACTTTAATACGATTGAAGTTAATAATTTAGGAAATCGAGAATTTGAGTGATAAATTTTAATATTAGATTATTCGAAATAGATATATATGAAATTCATATAACACAAAACTAAAAGTTGCACCATATACGAAGGATGAATTTTTAA